AACATACATTAAACTAAAATTAAATTAATATAATGTATATATATATATATAATATAGTATTATAGTGACAAAGCTAGGACACAGTTACAGAGCCCGTATCGTATCGGCATATATGTTATCTGATATGCGCAGTATGACATTTTTTTCTGGTATATAATGACATTTAAAAGTCTGTGTCAAGCAGCATAGAGTAAGACAGAAGCAGCAGCTGTCAGCAGTATCAACTGGACAACATCTGTAAAATTATTTAACATGTTAAAGTTATTTGTTTAGGGGCGCAGCCTTTTGAGTACCATTGCATAGTCATATCTGTGCAAAATCGGTGCACAATCCACAGAGAAAAGCTCCATTTCCATTCCAAATTCCACATTCCTCAAATATTCACTGTACTGGCCGCCATATCAGTAATTGGTCTTTTTCCCCTCTAAAGTCAGTATTGGAATTGGTTTCAAAAAACCCATCTCAGTCAAGGTCTATACATTTGGCTGTTCTGGCAGCAAAGGACCAAAAATGAAAAAGAAAAGATGTAGAGAGGCTGGGAATTAGCTCCAGTTACTGTGGGCCAATGTCGGCACCTGGAATCTGGCCAATTCCAGCATTTGTTATTTAGCACGAGTCCGGCATGTGTCTGGGAAGCTGGTGGAATTTGGCTTCTGTTGGGATTCTGTCATACTCACAACTTGGACTTCAATGAGAAAATGTGACAAGTAGTTAAAGTACAGTATTACACAAGAAACATTTTTTGAGAAAAGTCAGAAATATTAACTTTCCATCAAATCATAAAAGTTTCATAATATCTGCTTACTAACTTCACGTGCAGTTAAAAAGAAGGGATCCGCTTTAATATTCCTCTAGACCAGTGGTTTTCGACCTTTTAGAATCACGACCCCCAACATGTGTAACATACCACATGAAAGCTACCAAACTCACAGAACAAGCTTTTAGATTTATTAAAATAACGACTCAGTAATCAGTCAACATGTCTGCTTTAGGCCTAAAAGCACAATAATAGATAGAAATACATTCTCATATTACTGACAGAACTGGGCCTGTTGGGCCCTTAAAAACAGAGTATACAGCCTGCAGTATACACACTGTAGTATTAACTCAATTTAAGCATGAAGAAATATTTGATTTGAGTAACTAATTAACTGTTGAGGTAAGATAAATTAATTGTGCTTAAAACTAGTAAGTATATTACACTTATATGCAGCATTTCATCAAACTTGTTTAAATGTATATGTTCACAGAATTTAAATAAATAAATTAAGACTCAACTCAAATGCATCCTCTACATACAAATGTTATATTGTATATACAATATAAAATGTACAAATATGATATAAAGTCAGTTTGAAGAAAACAAGTCAATGGAACAGGCTGGATTTATGTCACCAAAACTTAAAATACTGTACAAATTTAGGTGCACTGTGAATTGAGTTATTACTTCAACTTTTTGTTGGGTTTAATTCATATTTAATATTATCATTTTATATTATAATGGGAATGAGTGACGCAGATTAAATTATGTTAACTTACTTCTATTATTAAGATATGCTGTTAGGATTTACAGTGTAGTTTTTGAGCTCTTGTCCACAACCATTCGGCACTCGAAAATGATCTTGCGACCCCCTTCGGGCCCTGACCCCCAGGTTGAGACCCTCTGTTTAAGACTAATTTAAGTAGTAATATTTTTTTTGATTGATAAGGAACCCGGGAATACTGTAATTCAAATGAACGCCACCCCCTTCCCTCTTCACTGGCTCGGATTTGAATAACGTTTGGCGGCAGATTTTGTGTATTGAAGGCTATTATGCAATCACTGGGGGCAGTTCCTCAGACACCCTGTTTGCATGCAGGGCGGGACCCCGTCTGCAAAAAAAGAAAGAAAAAAAGTGATCTCTCTCTCTCCCTCCGCAACTTTTCGCGCTGTGGCCCAGGTATTATTAGCGCCACTCGTGTTGCCCCCCGCCTCCCTCCCCTCCCTCCCATCTGTCTGTTTCAGCCGCACGGCTAATTACAGCCACCGCAGAGACAAAGGCCTGGGTGATTAAGTTAAAGGTATTAATAGCGGGTTTCTAGGTGCGGGGCTTTACTGCCTGACGCTGGTGTCACTGTGGGAGAAGAGGGGGGGACCAAATCTCTCAGCTGAAAGCCACAGATCGTTTATTGAGAGGATGAGTCACTCGTGTGAATAATAAAAAACGACGTACAAAAAAAAGGACCCATAGCATTAGCAGTAGTCTCTTTTTATCCCAGGTTTTCTAAAATGATTGTTTCCACCCGTATAAAAGTGAATAGTATTAGCAGTCATTACCGGAAGTTGTCATCAAAATGACTGAACTAAGGTTAAACTATTAAGCCCATTAGATATCTTAACATGTTAGAATCTGTTAAATATTGGTCTACTTTCTGTGGCGCCTTGCTGTGTTGCTCCATTGTTTGCTAATCAAACAAGGGGACGCAAAAGCACTGGACAGTGACTCAGTACACTGGGAAGGGTTGGGTAAAGTGTTTTTACATTCAAATTATGTATCAAGCTCAACTTAGGCCTGATTTAGTCTTCTATGGTGATTCCAACAAATTATTCCTTTTCAGGTAAAGTTCAGGTTCTGAATTTATATGTGTTCCTTGTTCATACATAACCTAGGCTACCAAAACCTGCTGACACCGGTTTCCCCGCCTCGATTCTCTTTCTGTACCGGAAAACAGTTGCAGAGTGAGACCTCTGTCATTATTTGGATCATCGCCCTGGGCTTGGAGAGCGCGCCGGTTGCCCCGCCAACAACTCTAGAGGCGTGGCCGACGTCCACGCCCATTGGTAGACACTGAGGCGCTTACCCGTGCACAATAACGCTGATTGGCTGAAGCAGAGTGACGCACCCAATCGCCTGAGTGTTGATTGGCTGGAGTGAACCAGATGCCGGAGAGCGCCAGAAAACAAGCTTGAGCGGGTGATGCTGGACTCTCCACGGGGCAGTGTGGAGTTTTCAGCTAATCGGACGGGAGCCTTGAGGACTGGAGGTACAGACTGAGGTACAGACTGAGGAGGACTGCCCGCTTATTTTGAAGAGGGAAATAAGCTGCTATGTTGGTCTGAAGAAACTACGCGCTGACAAGTGTGTAAAAGCGGACACTGAGCCACATTGGAATAATTCATTCATTCAACAGCGGAGAAAGGTGAGGAAACCAGTTTTCCCTCCAGTGGTTTCCTGCTTGCTGTAACACTACGATATGATATGCTCATCAGCTGAGCTAGCTAGGTAGCTAATTAAAGCTAAATGAGCCTTTATAAAGTATCTAAATAAGTCTGAGTAATAGTGTTACTCCCTCGCACAGGCTCTGCTACATCTGAATGTAACGGAATGGACTCATTTGAGTGAACTGCGCCTTTAGTTGCTAGGTTAATAACGGTAATGCTGTATCTTATGTTACAACGTAGACTTAACGTATTTAATTAACGTCATGTGATAACACACAGCTCTTAACTTGCTGCCTCGGCTGCTGTTCAGCTGGTTTAACGTACGGTTAAGTTAGCGATAAACCAAACTGTTAGGTAACTTAGTGAAGTTACAGCCGCTAGCTTGCTAATGGCTAATTAGCTGACGTTCTTTGCGCCAAATTCCGCAGACGAGTCGTCTGAGTTTTCTGTTTACTGTCTGAAGGTTCCTTAACTTCTCCATTCACCCCGCTCAGATATTAGTCAGCCAATCGATTTATGATCTTCTTTATATGCTCTTTTTTTTGGACCTAGATGGATGCTGAATGTCTAGCACTGAAAGACCTCACAAGTCCAAGGAAAAGTTTCAGGGTGGAGACGGAGGAGGAGGAGGAGGAGGATGGGGGCCAAATTGAGCAAAAGGTAAGGTGGCCCACTGCTTGATCTCAGGTGTGGCAGGTTTGATTATGATGCAACTGAAGGGGACCTGCAGAATCAAGTTAATCAGAGAGAGGTGTTTAGAGTAATGTGGTGGCATCTTAAGAGTGAGGTATGGTTATGGGCAAGGCTGGGGGGGGGGGCGTTAGACAGAAAAAGGTTTTCAGGAGAGACAGTGGAAAAGTAGTTTCTGGATTAGAAAAAAAAAACAAACAAACAGAAATAAGATAAAATATTCCTTTTAATATTCCTACAATGGGGAAATTCCAATTCCAAACAAGGCCTTGGAGTGTTTTTATATCTGTGAATTAGCTTGAAAGTACTTGATTTCCTATTTAAATACTGCACCCCAATACATCAGGCCTGTTTTTTGACTTCCTAAATAAAAGATTTAATAAATATAATAGCAGCAGGTTTAAAATGAAAGCTTTCTTCTGGATTACATGCTGTAATGGTACTTTGTAATTCACCCAAAAGCCTTAATTGAACACTTGTAACACTGCATGCAGACTTCCGCTCATACAACAACTCTCTCCATCACAGGAAAACATCTGCACAGACAGGAGAAGATCCACGCCACTGAAATCTGCCGAGTCCACCATCCCTACTTTGCTGATAAACAGAAAAGGTGCCACCCCTGACCTGGTCCACATCACCCCTATCAAACACACGGGCCTGGTGGAGCCCTGGACACCCACGGCCAATCTGAAGATGCTGATCAGCGCAGCCAGTCCGGACATCCGGGACAGAGAGATGAAAAAGGTGCTGTTTAGACCCAGAGAGAATGAGAAGGACAAGCCAGCAAGTCCAGATGCTGCGGTGGAGGATACAGAGGTGGAAGACTCTTGTCCGGTATGTGAAATGGGCCATTTTAGCTCCTGCCGAAAAGGCTAAGAGCCAAGCTGTTTAATGAAAAACACATGGTTTCAAAAGGTCTTTAGAGTAATCGTATGGGTTTATCTGTCTGTCCAGTTTGAAGCCGCGGAGGAAGAGGACGATGCTGATAGAAAGCCGAGCAGGAAGCAGAAGAGTCTGGGTCTGCTGTGCCAGAAGTTCCTGGCCCTCTACCCTGATTATCCACCGCCACACAGCCCCATCTGGATCTCACTGGATGAGGTGGCGACCAACCTTGGTAAGAGCCGGTGGAGGGAGGGAGACGATAATGGAAGCAGCTAGTGTCCATTTAATGAGCATTATAAAGTTTTTATGTTTGGAGTTAAGGGTGGTTGCTATGGCGGCAAACACTATATTGCTCTGTAAAGTGCTGAGCTGCATTTTTTGAGCATTGTCCTTTCATTCATTTTAACCGAAACACTGACCATTTGTTGAGTTTCAATACATGTGAGCACATTATTTTCAAAGAGCGGGCGAGTAATCTCTATTTTTGCACTTCAAATCGTCAGGAGTGGAGCGGCGGCGTATCTACGACATCGTCAACGTGCTGGAGTCTCTCATGATCGTGGGACGGATAGCCAAAAACAGCTACACCTGGCACGGTCGCCAACGCCTGGAGACCACGCTGGAGGAGCTGCAGCGCAGGGGCCGGCAGCAGGGCTACCACCTCCAGATGGAGCTGGCCTCGGAGACCAGGGAGGCCGGACCGGGGCGCGAGGACGACGGAGCGGAAGGAGACGCCAGCAATGGTAATGAACTCTTCTGTGAGCACTTTTGCATGTCTTTACTTTAATGGCGGTGATAAAGGAGCTGAAGTTTACTATTGCACTTATAGGATGAGACCGTTTAATGCTGCAAGTAAAGGTCTCATCTCAGGAGCAGCTGCCACCAAATTAACACTAGCTAAAACGATCATCATCCTTTCACCCTCAAACTCACAGGAGTGCATACAAGCCTAGTTTCCATAGTGATCCTGCCTGCTCATACACGCACACAGCCTTTCATTAAGAGGGTGTGTGTGTGTTGACATGTCAGTGTGACCGGATAATAATAGCACTCATGACAACGATAGTTTACAAAGGTAAAGGCTGGTGACAGGCTTTGATGTCCATTAAGTGGTTAATGTGTGCTGGTATTGTTGTGGCTGGTTGAATGTGATCAGCCTCGGGCCATGTAATAATACATAATAGCTGTCGTTACGGCAGCGCTGCAGAACAACAAACACCCGCAGCTGAGATGGTGTCATTAAGACACCGGCTGCACATTTGAGCCTTTATAATCTCAAAAATATTACTTTTTAATGGGAGGGAAACATTTCACTATAGCTCAGTGTATGAACACCAAGATTGTACAATATGAAGGGCTGGGAGGTTGATGCTGATACTGCAAACATTATTACTATTAGCGGATGTTTTGTGAGCAGATTTGAGATTTTATTTTCCGAAATGTGTTTTTTGGGAAATGTAGATTTGATCATGTTATAACAGCTACAAAACCAACATGGAACCAATACTGATTTTCCTTCATATCCGTCATTTTTTGCCAGTATGGCTGTAAAATAGATCTTAAATTTATTTTAGCGCGGCCTCAAAAGTAAAAAATGTAACCTGTTCAAACCTGCAGAAACCCTGTATATGTTGTTCCACAGATTATTACATTTCTTATCTTCTATGTTGTGGATTCCTGCGACTGCAGTAGTCTGACATACATTTCTTACTGACATTTCATGTTTTCCTGTCATGTGTAGCTGGTGGCAACAGGAAAGACAAATCTCTGCGCATCATGAGCCAGAAATTTGTCATGCTGTTCCTGGTGTCCAAAACTCAGACTGTCACTTTGGACGCAGCAGCAAAGATCCTCATCGAGGAGAGTCAGGACTCATCAAGCCACAGCAAGTACAAAAGTAAGTATGAAAGAAAGTACTAAAGGAATATACATCCAGTTTCTTCTGTTTTGTCAAAACTAAACGTCACCTCTGTATCTGCAGCTAAGGTGCGGCGCCTGTACGACATTGCGAATGTGCTGACCAGCCTGGGCCTCATAAAGAAGGTCCATGTCCGCGAGGAGAGAGGCAGGAAGCCGGCCTTCAAGTGGCTTGGCCCCGTTGAATTCGACAACTCAGCAAATGCTGGTAAGAGCTGAAGTTTAGTTGAAGACACTCCTGAACCCTTTCAAAGATCCATCACTGTCATCTGTAAGGTGTTTTGGTTAAAATAAGTCCACAAAATGGCAGTTTTATTGCCAATAACTGCATTGGTCCTCACTGCTACCATCTTAACCTTATCCTATCATCATCTGTAGGAAACGCTGTGAACATGGCGGCTGTCACTCTGTCTGGGTCCACGCAGCCAGTGACAGGCCATGACCTCAGAATCGCCAAGATGGCACGCCACGCCTCTTTCAACATCACACCAACTTCTGTGGCCGTCCAGCGGCAGGTCTGCTCTGCACCCAGCAGTCCGCGGCGAGAACCTACGGGTAAGGGACACACACTTTTTAATTTCTGTGTCATTGTTTAGTCAGTCAACCTGAACCGTTTATTACAGTAGAACATTTTAATATTCTTGCCTGATAAATTGTTCTCCTTCCTCACATCGCAGGTCTGCCAAACCAGCCCTTGGATTATTCCAAAAGGACTTCAAGCAACAATGCAGTGTGTCGACTGCAGTTTGGAAACAGCACTGAGTGAGTTCATAGTAATACACACACTGAAACTCAACCTGTGTGTGTGTAATCACCCTTGTGTTCCCTTGCTTTAGATTTATCTGCAATCATCCACCACAGATTTACTGCACACAGTAGCTCTTGTGCTAATCGCTGCCAGGACAGTCTGTCAGTATTCTTGAAGAGAATCCACATCAGCTGCCTGTACCTAGCCGTTTGTAGATAAAATGATTATTACAGAGAAGCTGCTTATCTCTAAATTAACTTTCTGACTGAAGCTACACCATTACCAGCTACCGACTATGTCTTAATTATAGGATGCCAAGCCCCCCCCCACTCCCTGAAGGGGTTTTAATCTCAGTCTCTAATACATAATATTTCACACACACTGCCAGTGTTTGCGTTGGCTCTCCTGTGTTTAGCTTTAGGCTAACATGAGCTGAATGCTGCGAATATGAATTGTCTTTGTCTCCTATGACTGTATGTGTTGGCTCCATAGATACAGTTCGCAGTACTTTGTGTTGTTTCAATGGCCTGCTTGTGGCCAAACCACAGCTGCCTCATGACTGTGGCTGTTAAGTGTTTCTGGAGGGAGGAAGATAATAGGGCACAGAAGTGTGTGTTGAAAAGGGATATTTTAGACATGAATTTGGGTAAAAATGCACCAGAGGCAGTGGTAGCCCACAGGATAAAAGTTGGAGGTTCATAGCTGGGAGGTGGCCAGTGGGAAGTCCAGCTAGCCCCTTCTCCACCACAAGAACTTTTGACCGGTGGAAGCCAGGAATTTAGTTCCTCTGCCATACTTCCCTGGTGTATAAAATGTTCATAAGGTCCATGCTCACACTCCCTCCTGGCCGGAGTTTGCAGAGCTGAATGTTGCTGATTGGTCATATACAAAACTCATGGCTGCTACATTTTTCAGGGTGCCCACTCGTCCTGGATATCTAGAGACTTGTTTTCCAGTCATGGAAACACCTAGAAAGTGATTAAAATGACCAAATATCCTGGAAATAATCTATGTTGTCCTGGAAAATTTACTGTAGTCAAATCACTGGAGTCCCATAGACGCTGACCCCTTACCTGTAACTTCATCATGAACAAACTGGGAACAATGTGTCAAGACTAGGCCTACCGGTTAAGTGCGGTCCTGTATTGTCAAGAAAAGGTCCTGGAAAATTATTATTAGGAACCCTGGTTTTTATATACAGCTTCATTCACACACTGACTAGATATTTCTTGTAACAAGCAGGTAAAGAATAGAGAGGGAGCTAGACAGAGGTAATGAGAGAACAAAGTGGAAGTGAAAGAACTAATTTGATGCTTCGCAGTTCCATAAAGCAGAATGTAATAAAATTTTTACATCCATTTAAACATGTTTTAATTAGGTAAAAAGACACTGCAGGGTTTAATGCATTCAGTGTAAAATGAATCCTGACCTGATTCACTTGAAAACTAGTCGCTATGGCCAAAGCCTGCAGGGTCGAATCAGAGAATTAAAGCTTTAATTATAATGACTAATCATTTCTCGCTGCTTTCTTGTTTTTCCCCGCAGTAACCGTCCCAGCACAGCACTGCAGACCCCCAGCCACAGCAGCAGCCCGCGGCCTCCGTCCTCCAGCCACCCCACCCTGCTGGCTCCCTCCCCTCACCCAGAGCACCTCTTCGCACCGTCCTCCTCTCCCCACTGCCTGGCCTACCTGCCCAGCCTGTCCCAGCCCTCGGTGGTCATGCTGTACAGGGCGCCGGAGAAACCTGACCAGAATGCCGAATGTCAGAGATCGCCCCGGCCGGACTCTGAGGAGGGGAGGAAGAGAAGAAGGGAAGAAAGGGAAGAGGAGGGGACGGTGGCGAAAAAGAAGGCGACACCTGGGTTAGAGGAACGTGACAAGGTGAGGTGGTGTTTGATGTGTTAGGGTATGTGTATGGAGAGAAATGAATGTGATTAGTGTTCATTTTGTTTAAGATCAACTGGGAACCCCTTCATTATTTTGCTTCAGTGCAGTGATTATATGCTGCCTTTTTTTCTGCGTAGTTTTGCGGCACACGATCCTGTTAGTAATTCTGGATGGTGGACCGTTAAATTGAAAATATGAAATACTACACGCTCGCTGAGGATAACTCGTTCCTGGTGTAATTAAAGACCTATCATATTACTGATGTATAGGATATTTGATAATTGGAAAACCCCTTGAAATTAGTCAGGCCACACAATCCTACTAATAGGAAAAGTCCAATTTTCCACGATGAATAGGTGTTGCCTCTATTTTAAACGTCTTTCGTGCGGTCCAGGTTTATTTATTCCGGGTTTGTTTTTCCTTCCAGATGAGAGCTGACGCTCACAGGGAGGCAGCAGAGTGTTCACAAACTGCTCACAGCAGCAGCGAGCCCGCCCAGCCATCACACTACCTCTACGTACCCAACAATGCAGGTAAACCCGCCACACCAGAGGGTTTCAAAGAGAGGAGGGGGGCTATAAACAGTGTCAGGGTAGGTTCAGTGAATGAAAGTGAAAAAATGTTACATTAGTTATCAAAAGGAGTGACATGGAATAGCCTAAATGTGTGTGAGTGGTGCATTTGGTTAAAAAGATAGTTCCGCATGACAGCAGTTTTAGGGGATGTTACTGGTTTTTCCACTTTGCCACACAGATTTTAGAATATAACACGTGTCAACAAATTCTATTTGTTTGATTTCCAGGGTCTGAACCAGCCTCAACTTCTCCTCATCTTTGCCGGCCAGTCAATCGGCAGTCTAGCACGGCCTCCCAACACCTTTCCACCCTAGCACTACGTCCTGCTGCCCTCTGCAGCCCTCTCCCACTACCCCCTGGTGGCCGGCGGTCTACAGCAACAAGGCACCAATGCCAACAACAAGCTAAGCTTCAGCCTTCCAACTGTGATGTCGGCGGGCCACTTTATGGTTGGGGCGGCGTCGTACGGCCTGGCAGCGGCATCGGAGATCAGCAGGTCACCGGTTCCAACGCCAGCCACTCCAGAACAGAGCAGGGCGCACGGCTCGGCGGCAGGCACGCCACGTTCTCCCTCAGGACCACGTCAGACTGTCACTATCAACACACCAGAACCACTGGTAAGAGTTATCTGCACTGTTGTAGCCCTCCACACACACACACACACCTCTGCTCTAAAAACGCATTAACTTCAACATAATTTGCCTCCATAATGACACATGACCTTTCTGCTACCAGGCAAAATGCCACAACACAGCTTGACATGAGAGCAAGTGCAGCATCTGTTCTGTGGAAGGTTTCCCCCTCATTTGCTCATTCAGACACTTTGTGTGTGCCACAGCGGTTCAAGTTGATTAATCTCCAAGTTGTTAAATAGGGATTAATGTTCTTGTCTGCAAAGCCCAACACAGTCTGCCAGCATTGCTCTTCTCGAACAGAGTCTCTGTTAGACGACCTGCTGAGGCGCTGGGTGGCAAATGAATGCAACATTAGAAACAATGTGACGGCTCAATGACTGTCATCCTTTCTCACACACTTTCACTTTTAAGGCGAGACATTGCGGGCAGAAATATTGCCTTTTCATGCACTGGTCAATTTTGAGATTTGGGGCTATTTTGCTTCCATCTTTTCTCAGACTAGTGCAGTGGTTCTCAAACTTTTCTAGCAAAACAAATTTGCTGACAGAAGTGACTTAAGACTTAATACTTCTTGAGTCCATCTGTATGAGTGTTTCTTTGCTTTCATATTTATTTTACAGTATTGTTAAGCTGTTTCTTTTGGAATCATTCAGGAAGCTCCTAGTTTTGAGCTTTGACAGTTAGATGTTGAACAGCAACCTTTTTAACAACAAAACCCAATTCTCACCTTCATGTCACTACTTTTTAATTTTCTAACACGGCATCTTTAACAGGTTTTAACAGTGACAGCTTTTTGTCACGTGAGAGGCCTTGAATGCACCTCCAAAAAACATGCTCCCCAATTCCCACAGTACATGGTGTAAATGTTCTCCTATCTTACATCACTCTTTACCTTCACAGACTCCACACACTCCAAAGGAAATCCCAGCATCTGCTTCTAAGGCTTTCTTCCAGACCCCAGGCACCCTGGGAAGTGTAGTCAGCGCTGTGCCAGCTCCCCGAAAAAGAGGCTCGGCACAGAGAAGACTGGACGTCGGCCACCCTCCCACCAGTTAGCCCTCTGAGGAGATGGAATAGGTGCTGTTTTAACACTCAGGTGTTGATGTTAAAAGTGAAGAATATGGTTTCAAACCAACGGTGCTGTATTAGATTACTAATCAATTCATTTCTTTCAGAAATGCAAGAATTGAAATTTTTAGCAAAAGACTGTTTACTTGAGACTTAAAATGAACTCTTTCCTGAAACCTCAAACATGTTTTGGAAAGCAGAGACCTCAAGATGTCTCACATTTAGCTAATGACTCAATTTTCACCAAATGGTGTGTCTCTCATTTTGAAATTAAACTCCATTATTGGTCGTTGTGTTAACAGTTCACATGTGCCTCATGGTTCAATTATGGGACACCACATTTCAGAGTGAATGAGTGAAACAGTATTGCCAATGTGCCAGTGCCCTCCTGTGGTAGGAGTCGGCCACTGCTGTATTTTGTATTTCAGCCTTAATTTTTCCCTCCCAGACACGATCAAGCTACCTAATTCCCCCATCACTTGTGTATTATAGCCCAATTGCTATTTATATTTTAGATAATATATGTTAATTACAGGGACTGTAATGGAACATAATTTTTTTTTAGCACTAAGAATGTATGTCTAATATTGAAGTGATCGTCTTCAGTCGGCCCTTTCAGGTTTCGTTACATTATCAAGGTTTAAGAGGAAATGATTAGCTGCTGGTCACTGATTTACACTGACAGTAGCAGATAACATCATTGTGAGGAGAAAATCACTAGAGCCTTAAATGTTTACAGCCAGGCGAGTATTTCGAGGAACTGTTCCTGGACTCATCAGGAAGACAAATGTTACTGGTGCTGTGTTTGTTTTCACTGAGTATCTGCAACCATAGTGCTTAATGGTTAAACACCAAAACCCTTTAGCTGTGTTACTGACGACTAAAGGACAATGTGACGATGCTCTCAGGTACTTGAATACTTGCGACTTTACTAGAAGTGGATTTTGGAGAGATATCTAAGTACTGTAAAGAATCTTTTATCCTTAATTTATCCAAGGAGAGTAGACTGAGCTTGTATGCTGTCTTTTTTGGGAGCACTGCAGTTGGGGGTTGAGTGCCTTACTTTAAAGGCACTTTGCTGAGAGGAGGGAGCTGTTGCCTTTGGTACAGATTTTGTCAGGTTGTCCAGTGATTTGTAACCAACAGCCCTCTAGTCATAAGCCCACTAACTTGCCAAGCCAAAATATTGGTGCTTTGTACGGGAATCATTCAGGAGAGCTTAGCTATGTCACACCAAAGGGTGCACAGATAATCCACTGTTCGGTGGAAGTGTAGTGATTAATGTACAGTCTTTATGTCAGTAATTATTTTTGTACATTGTATTCATAGTGCCATTTATACTTTTACATGCAGAATGTTCAATGCTGCTTCACTGTTTTTAAAATAATGATTATTGCACTGCTAGTTTTAGTGGTGTAGTGTACGCTGATGTAACTTTTACAAAACTCTGAGCTGTTTCTTCACTGTAGCTCTGATCTCTCTGTAGTTATGGGCCAGACTGGTTTTCTTCTGTATGACTTTCACAAACTCTGAATAAAAATGTACAACGCTGACCAGCTTTGTCGTGTGTGGGCTTTAATTTGAAGGAATATGTGACTCTACCTGCAGATATTTTTTGCCAAAGGTTTCCAAATATAATAAGAAAAGCCACCTTCACTGCAAAACCAGATAAGTTTATTTAACTTAAAAAAAAAAAAAACCTAGTAAAAAGTACATAATCCGCAAAGTTTCTGTAATTTACAAAGCCAAGTCAGTGTCACTTAAAATTACTTGTCAAAGCTGCTTAATCCAGAATATTTTAATTTAAAAAACTGAGTTTGTGTTACTTTTCAATGTAATCCATTTCAACAATTGTTTTGAGTTAAAATAACTAATGCATTTCAGCTGAAATGTTTAAAAAAACATGTTTATTATTAATTATGGTGTTAAGTTTTGCTATACAATGGGGAAATAAAAGAATCCACTAAGATGGCAATCCAAATGTTGACAGATTTACAGATGGCTTCAGTTTACTGATTTACAAATGTACAGATGCCACCAATAATTTAGAGTCCAATTCAGAACGGCCCAGCAGATGGAAGCAAGCCACGCTAATGTGGTCACATGACACATTTCATCTAACAATTCCTGCAGATTGCGGTGTTGCATATATTAAACTCTCAAACACAAAAAATGGAGCCAGTGATCTGGTGAAGACACAGCCACATTAAATGATGATTTACAGATGCAGTGTACGCATCAGAAAACAGGTTAGAGTCTTAATTATAATGAATGAAATTCCATTGGGGGAGAAACACATCTGACTCATTGAGCATGATTTCAGGGTCAGATCAGGCTGATTGAGCCGCACTTAAAAAACGCACACACCATCTGTCTGAGGACATCAACAACTAATCAAAGTTTTTATATTGGCACTAAAAGTGAGCTGAGGGAGCTGCCAGTAGATGTGTTTGGCCCCTGTGAGGCATTTATGACACTAAACCTCAGCAGATGGGACAATTAACTTTATATGGATAGTTTAGCCAAGTATCTGCTGTGGCCAAAAACACTTCAATGAAAACACACTGTTCCAGAGGCTAAACAGAACAATTAGCTTTCAAATATATGCCACTACTACTAATGTGTATTCCTACCACCCTGATTACTGTTTCTATTACAGTACTGTTATTGTCAATAATATAATCAGGTGGCACACAATTGTTGGCTAAATGAATCAATGAAATGAGAGATGTTATGGGAAGAAACTGGGCAGCACTGATTGAAAGGGATCAAACCAGGTCAGTTTTGTCTTACCATAATGAACCCATACTGGTCAATCATGCTATAGGGATGCACAATTAAACACAATATTAACAGAATCACAATTTGGTCAAGTGCAATATCCAAAGTGCAGAAGCTGCAGTTTATTCAATAAAGAAAGTTCTAATGAAGTACTGTAGTTCTAGAGAGATGCACTGGCATACAAATCTTGTTCTCCAGGTTTAAGATTGGTACAGTGTCACACCATCATCATTTTAATTGTTTGGTTTTTTTCAGCCAAAATTGAGATGCATAAATGATCATTCCCACTCTAATCATCGCAATATCTGTCAAAATAATTGCAATATGATGTTTTTACCTTGTCTTACAGCCATAGCCAAGAGACAATTTAATCTCAGAGGTTCTGAGATTTAAGTTACAATAAAAAACCAAAATCATGATGATATGACATTTCTTTATCTGCTCATTTTAAACAATGCCACTCAGGGTTGTTGCTACAAAGGTTTATAAAAAAACTTTCATTATACAATTGGTTTCCTCAAAAAGTGTATGGCCTTGATAAACATACAAGTATGTTATTTTATATTAGAAAAATACCAGTGCTGATTAAATAAATAAATAAATAAATAAATAAAGGTAAAGCAAAAGAAACCTCAAAATGCTCAGGAGGTTCACATACCTTTAAGCAGCACTGTACATGGAAGACTTGTCCTGAATTATAGTGATTAAAAAGGAACAGTTGGAAACTTTGAGAAATACTTTGATTAAACCTGTTTTTCAGGGGGCTTTTTTCCCTTCCAAAACGCAGAGACTGCAATTTAATTTATGAAGATAAAATGTCAGACAGAACAGCTTTATAATGAAGTACTGTAGTTCTAAAGAAATGCCCTGGCCCACAAGTCTTGTTGTTCAAGCGTTTGTAGATAAAAACAGCTCATTCTAAGGTAACAAAAACATAAAGATTCCTAAAAACTAACTAACAAGTCTTTCTCTTTTTTTTACAAAGGCGATAAACATAAACATCTGAAGTTTTTATTCCTTTTATGTCTCTAAAATACTGAGGATCACATCTGAAAAACATGTAATTTTGCGTACCCACTATCCTTTAAGGGCACCATAATCGGTCCCATTATTATTTTATAAGAGCAAGCGCCTTTGTTTTTCCTCTAAATGCTGCACATTTTATTTTGGGTGCAAAATTTTCGTTCATTTAGCCGTGGCTGTGCTTTGGGATTTCCTCACCCAAGACTTTGTGGCCATGTAAGGGAAAGGGGAGAAGAAATTCTTTCTGGGTTACACTGTTGGGCCTGTAAAACCCAGGTGTGTTGCCAAGTTTATAAAATTTTGCCTTTGAACAAAGAGCTCTTACTGAAATGGGCCTGTACTCTATGAGTACAGGCACTTCAGATTTTTGTCCAGATGAGCACCCTTACTTCTTAATGCATGCTGCCACCTGTAAGTCCTAGGTTAACGCACCTCCTGAACACAACTGCGTAAGCAGACCCCCCCTACTCTGCCTCTGATTGGCTATTGTTGTTGTCTTGGTTATTTGGTTGGTTAGGGTTAGTGCATGAGGAGTGAGAGGGTTAGGGTTATGAAACAAAAAGTCATGGGTCAGAGCCAAATCAGGGGCAGTGTAGAGTAGGACTTCATGTGTTCTTCCTAAACAGAAGGCCAAAAGGGTTGTGGTGATGTTGTGTTATGGTTCTTCTGCCTGAATTAGGGTACTTGGCACTATTTTTGGTCAATTCAAGGCAACGAATAATTACTATGCTTGTGAATAGCTTGTGAATACTAACAGCTTCCTATTATTTGATATCCTTGGAATCATCATCCACGCTTTCTGCTTCCACTATTTATGTTTGGATGTTTTGTGTATTCAAGCCTACAGCTCCACAGACAGGTGACTGAATATTGTCCTTAAAGGAATGTAATATTTATGGAGAGAATACATGACAAGGTTCCAAGGTTCAGTAATAAAAATGACACTTAATGCACAAGCACTTCGGAGAGTAAGAAATGTATTGGCATTCAGGACACATTCATCAAGCTATCTGTACTCTAAATGAACAGCAAAGTCGCCATAAATTTAATAACAGTGCATGATTAACTGTCCCCACATTGTTTCACTCTTTAAAATTCGTTTAAATTGTGGCCAAGTCATAGTGTTTTTAGGCCAAAAATCCCCCCAACAAATTTTAATTTAAAAAAAGTGTAAATTGTATTTGGTGAATTCTTAATATCTCCGTAGTCATTGAAAGAAATTGTTATAAATTTCCTTTGATTCTGTTGTACTGCGCCAGGTCCCTTATGCTTTAACATGATATAACGGGCCCCTCTTATGACAAGCTTTTTCTATAATGCGAAAAAATACCTTGAGAGAGGCATTCAGTCCTTTTTCAAAAATATTATCCCGTCTGTAAGGTTCATTTGGTTAGGAAGTGTTCGCCACCTTCCTGTTTCTCCAATAAATGCCGCTTTTTTACGTTTCTTTATTATTGTGGAGTGACACTGACCTTAGCTGAAATTGAGAAGGCAATTAAATGTCTACCTGGGCTTCTACTCAGAGACTTCCATTGAGCTGTTTGCTAGCACCCTTGGAAGGGAATCATGGAAAGATTCATAGGCTGCTCCTGAGATTATTCTCCTTTTCAGAAATAACAGCTCATCACTGTGACTGTGTGCAGTATCCAAGCTTTTAAGGAATTGCTTCTAACGCGTTTGTACAGTGATGTACAACTATATCGCTTCCCCATTTCTTTCGATACGATGCATCATTAGATTCCGTAAGGAAACTTGGTGGTCACCTGTGGAGAAAAGGTTCCCCAGCTGGCCTGTGTTCAATCAGCTGAACATAATTACCAATCAACTACTAGGTGCATGTGGCTGGATGGAGTAAGTGGCCTCAGATAACTTTTGTAATATAAGCATTTTGCCAATATTAATCACAATACTATCTTCACTGTTGGAAAATATACAATGCACAGATTTTATTTCCTAAGTAAGTAAAAAAATGGCAGCACTACATTCTGCTTAGTATGTTGATATAATTTTGTTATAAATTATAACCTAAACTATTATTTTTTACATTATACTTGTCTTCATTCAATGCAGGTGGATTCTTGGCAAATGTCATTAGTGAGCGGCACTAGGAAAGGAGCCGAGGACCCAAAAAATTTTTTTTTCTTTTTTTTTTTTTCTTCACCCAGATGATCCGGCCTCCATGTACTACTGTCAGGAATATATGAAAGTTTCCAGAAAATATAAACAAAAAGTTTCCTACTGCAATGCTTTAACTGCTCTTAGGGGGGGGGGGGGGGACTGCTGAACTTTCTGGCCTCCCATACTCTTGCTGGGCGGTTTTAATCACTCACTGGCAGTCCTCCTGGCCTGGTCCGTTGCACATTCTGTGATGCCAGTTTTGTGATGTAATCTGGTTAAAAAAAAGTTTAAAAACCCCCAAGAACTTGGCATCGGAATTCTGCTCTCTTAAATTCCCTTTAGAAATACAGTCATGAGACTGTACTAATCTCAACAGAAAGCTGTGCTGCAAACTTGCAAACAACAACAGCAAACACAGCAGCAAGCAATTTTCACTTTCAGTTTTTTATTTCTAAAACTGTTCTGTGCTATGGTTTACACTATCACCATAGCACAGAGGGAACATTTTTCCTCCCTTTATACTGAGTAGTGTTTATGCAGAAAATAATTCATGCAGTTGATCAGTTGACAAACAAAATGCTGATTTTTTATTTATACCTTAAACATTTCATTATGATGGTTAATATTCACATGAAGTATAAACTGGCCCTCTGAATGTTAGCATGCTGATGTTAGCATTTAGCCCAAAGCACTGCTGTCCCTAAATACAGGTGTGATTCATTCTTGAAATTTACCCCATCCACTGTGGCTCTAAATACAATGCATTTAATAACATGAAGTCAACAATTCAGCTTTCAAATTCATGCTTTGCTAATGTGAAACTTCACAAAGCATATGTGTTTGTTAATGTTGGTAACGGCCTACATGTAGTGATGAACCATATCTCCAGGCTGCTAACAAGAACCAACAGTGGAGTTAATGTCTGGCTTCTATTATTAATTTCGTGCTGTGACTTCTTTATGGCTCCGGAGCACGTGATGGATCTGCACATAATTTCATCACTAAATAAATCTTGGCTTCATTTTACAGCCAGAAATCCATCATCTCATATATATTTTCCAGCTGTTGTGACCATGGTCTGATCTATATTCACAGGAATTGGCCTTCTCATCATCCATTTTGAATAGAACAATCCTGAAACTAACAGTCGTCTGTCCCAAGAAGCTACGTCAGAGATTATTGCATACAACATGAGGCTGATTTAATAGTCTTCTATCAAGCACTCTATTGTTATGGACCCTTCAAAATAAAGAGCAAAATTGAAAAATAATGAAGCTGAGGTTTGTTGGCGACGGTGCAGGGTGCTGTCTGTTTTCCCTCCGCAATCCTCTCACTGCAGATCATATTCTAACAGTAGGAGACCTAGATCAACGACACGTTGGTCCAACTGAAAACCACATTTATCTGTTTACATTATAGTCTTTAATTATAGGCATAATTCAAGCCTACCCTCCTTAAAGGGGGTTAATTTTATGGTTTAATCTTTTCATTAAATATAATTAAGCATGCCAGTCTGCTCCCAGTGCCGCCACGTAGCTTCACTGTGGTGAGACTTGTAGTGGTGCCATGAGAAAGGTCATGAAACTAAAGGTCACAGGTTTTTATAACCAGAAGGAGTTTATGTGATGCTGTGTGTCTTGTCAAATTGTGCTGAATCCATGTTTGCTCCGTCACTGTGTGGCTCTGTAATTATCAGGATGTGGTCTGTGGTGGCTTTGGACAGCGCTGCACTGGTGAGAGTTGTGTGCAACAGTACAGTCTGTTATAGTACCGTTGTAATATCAAACATAACCCCTCTTTATAGATTTTCTCTCTGCTACAAATATTTCCACTGTTTGCAAGGCAAACATGAAAAAGGCTTCATTTATTACATTGTCTGCCCAGCAGGGGGCAGAATAACTGCACATTTAGACAGACTGATACAGCTGTGTTTTAAGCATTTACAGTATTTCTAATATAAATTACTATACACATATGTACATTGTACACACATACACAAAAGCAACGTATAAACTGTCTCCATCACTTCCTGTAATCCTAAACAGAAGGACAAGTTCCTTTTTCCTGCAGAAGCCCACAAGTTCTTGAGTTTTATACATTAAGCATAAGAAAGTGACCACAACCACTGAAGCCATCAGACAGTGTGTCCTTTAGTGTCCTTGAGTTTGGAGCAGAGTTAGTCTGGCCTGCCAAAACTCTAGTCTATTGTTCTAAATGCAATCCTTTTAAAAAAGGTCATAATGTTTGAAGTCAGAGCCATAGGCCCAATTGAAAACAACGCAGAGTCCTTGATCTTGTCCTTTTTGGTACAGGAGTAAAATATCATATCTTTATCATAAGTCTGTGTTACCACACAGTGACTAATTCCACTCTCCTCACACACTCTTCTTCACATATGGATCCTTATGGGAAAATCATATCCAATGTGGTTGGATCTGTCAAATAGAACTGAGGCTGCCACTGTACATATAGTATGTTTCAATGGCAACATGGATGTATTATACATTTATTTAAAGCCCCCCCTTCACTCAAAAATCAGTGTTTGTTCCTGTTCCTACAGTATGATGTTTGAAGGATGTATGTGCAAATTTTGACACTAGAAGGATGTTTTCACATTCATCTGTTCAGTATGCAACTTCTGCAAATTGTACAAACCACCAGTGCACCTACCCTGAGGCTTTACAGTGAAATAGGAGACATCTTGTGTCCAGAAGGAAAACTTGAACTACATTTCCGTATTCATAGAATCTGTCATTTTTAATGAGGTTGAAGGAGTAGATTACTTTTTTAAGCATTTGAATGTATTTTTGATCTTTTTTTGGAAAGATCTTTAAGGAAAAAACATTTTTCTTTTTTTCCCCCAATTCCAAGTCAGCCAACTTAACAAGACCATATCTTAGTAGTAGTATGTAGTATGAAACTAAATAAAAACAAAAATAAACTCTCAAAGATTCATTGTTCACCATTTAACATCCTGTATAATTTCTGACAGCACCTGAAGGCAGCAGTGTTGTGTTCACGCCCCCTCTGAAAAACCCCTCCTTCCACAGAAACAGTAAGTATGCGGAGTATGTGGCATTACCCAGTCAGTGTAGTAAAGTCTGCTGCCGAGCCGCTGCCGAGCCGTCTGGATACACACTGACCTTCCGCTGGAGCTCAGCCGCTTCACCTCTTCACCTTACCTGCTTTAACGTCAAGGTTACTTTTCTTATTCTACCACACTGTGTTGAAACTATTGCTGTAGATTTCAGGTTGGCTACTTTTAATATTAAATAAGTTAAATGTATTATGTTGGTGTCTGTACTCAAGTCTGTTGAAGAGCAAATGTAAACTAGCTTTAGGGCTGTGCAAGGGAATTTTTTTATTGTCGCAGTTCTTAATTGCTTAAGTAACGTTAATAATTGTAATGGTCGCTTTTTTGGAATTTATAGCAGATAGAAATTAATTTAAGAAGAGCAAAAGTTTGCTAAACAGTTTTTCATTAGTTAATTTGAGTTAAAACAAACCAAACCAAGAAACTAAAGTGTAACGTTATCATCTGAAACACGCTAGCTTACATTAAGTGATGTTTAGCTACAGCGTTATAACAGGTTGACGCTGCGTTGTGTTCAGGTCGAAATGGAACTAATAGCCTTTAACTCACTTTACCCACTGAAATGTCGCACAGAACAACAGAAGTTAACCATTCTTTTCCAGAAATGTAGTCAGATGAAACAGTTAAACTTCAAAAAAATCGTTTCCACTTTCAGCTGATACTCTTGGTCCAGCTGCCATTAAAGGTTCAATACTGTTTCAGGGGTCAAGAGGTCACACTGTCTATTGACTGTAAGTCCTCTGAAAAGTTATGTAACAAGTGCCAGGAAAAGAAATCAATTCAATTAAAAACCAGATATAAGTTGAGTTAATGGTAATGCATGCCAGAGTTCCCGCACTGAAAAGGTTCAGTGAATCACACTTGCTTAAAGTGCTCAACAACAATAAAATGTCATTAGTCTTGGTTCAGTGGAACATTATAGTGTCCAACGATGATCTCAATGCTGTTTCAGATTGTTTTCCCAGCACAAGCACTCAATGAAATTAAAGCACATATTCATCCTGGGCAACCAAAGTCTAAAAGTATCATAAATAATTCATCACACCTTTACCTCAGTGAATCTGCTCCCACTGAACTCTGTGAAACTTTAAAAAGACATTTCAAACAAAGCGCACATCAGCCGACCAGTTGGCCTGTACGCTTCAACGCCGACCTTCTCATCCCACCCAAAGCCCTGAGGGAAATTTAAGGGTAATGTCTGTGGTCTTTTGATCCCCTCTCATGCTCGGGCCTGCTCTACAGTCTCTAATCCAGCTGGGAGGAGGACTCACTGACTGACAAGATTAATAGTTCCTACTGCTTTTCAATTAATTAGGAATAATGGCACTTTATAATTTTAGTCTCCAAAGCAGGATATCACAGCAGGCCTGCTTTGCGGTGCAGCACAAGGAAAAGTCCTAAAATGTTAAATTTGTCCCTCGTGGAACGTCACGGACGCCCTCTTGACACATTTTTAACGGGGAGTGAGTCTGTAATTACAAACAGATGCACATGTGAGAGAGGGAGTGAGTAACAACCGTGTTTACTTCATGCTCACACTTCTTCTTTACTGTTTGCTGTTTGTATCCTGCAGCCACATCCCATCAGACAACAAAAGCCCTGAGGCACGGCGCCCTGACACATTCCTCCGGGTATTAGTGTGCCCTGTAGTTTAGGCCGACCTCTTTTGTATTGTTTGTTTTTGTTTTTTTTCAGAGAGGCAGTTGTGGCCCGGAGCGGTGGTTTTCAATTCAGCCAGCAATTTTTCAAGCAGAAAGCCAGCAATACAGGTTCTTAGAGGCAGATGCGGTTATCACAATATGGATCAAGAACTTTAGTGCTTTAAATATGTTTAGGTACTCACTGACTTTCAGGTTATTAAAAAAGCTATAAAACCCCGAAACAGACTTAGAGTCTGGCTTCATTGCCAAGTAGGTACAAGGTGCGAGGAAAATATAAGTAAAGAGGAAAACAGAGAAATATAAAATCGACATTAACAAGTGAAAAAAGATTATAAAGACAATACAAGAAAAAAAAACAGCAGGTCAGGTGTTAAAATTGATTGGATTCATGAAATTGCATTATTGTGTCTCACTTTTGAATGTGTTTTAGGGAAATGTGTGTATTGATCATGCTGTAACAACTACAAACCAAACAGACATCGAACCAATACCAATGTTGCTTCATATCGTTCATACTACTTTTTTAAAAAGGCCTTAAAAAGTCTTTTTAACCTGTTAAAACCTGCAGAAACCCTGAATCAGGCGCTGTGGTTCTGGTTACACATCCTCCAGGTGGAAACTTGTGAATGAATGAAGAAGGGTGAAGCACTGAAAAAGTCCTTTGTTTCCAAAGTTCTGACGAGAACACATCAGAGCGAGCAGAGGAGGAGCACACAAAGTAACCCTAATCCAGATGCTTCAGCCTCTCTTATCGTCTCTCCATCTCTTCTCAGAACCACGAACCATGCCAAACTGGGGAGGAGGCAACAAGTGCGCAGCATGCCGTGGGACAGTTTACCACGCTGAGGAAGTGCAGTGTGACGGCAAGAGTTTCCACAAGTGCTGCTTTCTCTGCAGTAAGTACAGCTGTAACACCCACACTTCTGGACTAAGATTTACAGGACTATGGCAGTGTTGCACATGGAGTAGAAACTGCATATATTTTATGTCACTGTTAAACCTTTTCCAACATCATTTGACCTTCTTTCCCTCCCCCGTTCAGCCACTGAATTTATGGTTTTTATATACATTATGAAGAGCAGTTTATCAGTCATAGGGAGTAGTGCTCCTGCTGCTGTGTGCAGCTGTGCAGCGGCTTCCTAACGTCTGAGAAAACAACCCTGATGACGTCATCAGGGTTCTCCCGGCGTGAGTAGAGATTACACATTTGTAACACAAAGCCTGTTTTACAAACTGGGCATGGAGTCTGAGGGACATGGGCATTTACCAGGGATTGATGGTCCTACAGAGGTATTTGAGACAAATTATGGGAAATGTAGGATCCTGCGATTCTGGAGCTTTTGTCCCAAGCTAGAAGTCAGGATATCTCAGCCTGTGCTACTTCAATTTGCACTCTTTTTTTTAACCTTTCTACTCTGAGCCCTCGGCTTTATGAATGTTCAACACTAAATCACTGGAGTACCCCTTTAAATTGTGTTCTGTCACAAGTAGATTTGAGAATTGACTACGGAGTTAGTAAGTAAAGTGAAACCTGGCAGACAGGCATTAAGAGACAGAATGTGAGAAACATTGTGAAAAGGATAACGTAAGCTTTTTGAGTGGCAAAAGGTCACTGAGAGTTAACACACGAGCGTTTTCCCATTAACACTTAGACAAACACGTGTTCTTTTGCTTTGAAGAGAAAGTCAGCTCAGACATTTCCACATCTGTAACCTTGCCAAAAGCCAAACGCAATCATGTTAACATCAGTCCTGCCAAGAGCAGCTATGGCATCAACCTGCACACATTGTTTGTATTTATAATATGGTATGTGGCTGTTTCTGCTGTGTAGCTGGTTCAAGCTGCAGAGGCAAGAAAGATCAGCGACAGAAAGACGGCGGACTCGGTTTCACCTCTTCACGGCTCATCAAAAGGAGCCTGCGCTGACATTTCTCTGAGTGGTCATCGGTGGTCGGGTTCACACTGCATTATTGTCATTTTGCTGGACGGGTGGGCGGACTGTCCTGCTCCTGAACCATACTTGAAATGTCAGCAAAGATGTCCCAGCAGAGACCTCGCATGGAGACCAGGATTATACAAACGCTGTCATTTAGCTGCTATCAAGATGAGAAGGAAAGCAATCTGAGCCACAAAAGATGAGTTTATTTTTTCCAGTGGTTTCCATACAAAGGCAGCTTTGTCTGACACTCCTACTGAGGAGATGATGAGCAAGGACGTGGTGTCCTTGGCTCTGTTTTGGCCTTTCTTCCAGTTTCTCAGTTTGACCACTTTTCATTTCTGCATATGAAAGGCACTTATGTAGTGACAGAAGTGTCACACAGTTACAAACAGCCTCATACGACGCTTTGTACACTAACTGTGGCTTTATCTTCTTGATTTGCTTATAGTGTTTGCCAGTGGCAGCTCATGACGAGTAATGATGGTGGAGAGGGACTGGAAATACTCACAGAAAGCGTAACAATCGCAACAAAGACAGTCAGGGAAATATGAGGATTTTGGAGCCATATGATTGGACATGCAGAAATCTTCTAACAAGCTTTCACTTTGAAAATGTTGGCTTGAAGATCAGAGAGACAGAGAGAGTGTGGAGACATTTTTCCAGCCAGTTGTGTGAAATCTCAAACCAGCATCAGACGGTCACCCAGTGCAGGCCAGCGTGTGAACAATCCCTGAAGACACTGCAAGTCTTTTGTTTCAAACAATACTTTCTTTACTCTGTACAAACCAGCCAAAAATGGATTTCTCCAACAGATACTGTACATTGTTTGAATTAAAATATAATAAACTCAGTTGAAGGAGAATTCCTGAAAGGAATTACTGGCAGCTCAGGTGTAAAAACTGAAAGAAGATGAGAAGTGTAAGCAGTGAGAACAGTTGGGACATTGGGCGTTGTAGGACTTTGAAGAGTTGAAGGAGTTTTTTTGATCAAAGGTGAAGATTTGTCAAGGTTTGAAGTGTCAGTTCAGGTGTCAGGTGCTAAGTGGTAAAAGTAGTAGTTGTCAGTAAGTGTAATGTAATGAAAGCATTTGAAAGTGTAAGTCAAAGAGTTTAAAGTTGAACAGCTCTCAGTTTCACCATTTTCATGTTTTATTCTTTAACACTTCATCTGCCTTAAGTAATAACACTTGCAGGAAAAACTCTTGTAAATCCCACAACTTCCACTGCTCGTACACAGTTTACTCCAACTGCTTTCAGTTCAGCCAACACTTCAACTGATTTCTGTCAATAATTCCACTTCAACTGACCCTTCCAGCTTCATGTATCACTCACACTTCAGCTGACATTTTCGACATCAATTCTTGAACTAAAACCCTCTTTTGTGCACACTCCCATATTGACACTTCAGCGTCTCTCAGCCCTTCCATTTGAACTGACACTGATACTGGATTTCTTTGTTAGGCTCACAGTAACACCATTATGTAACTCCTTCTCTCTGTGTGTCCTCAGTGGTCTGCAGGAAGGGCTTAGACAGCACCACACTGGCTATTCACGACCAGGAGATCTACTGCAAGTCCTGCTACGGGAAGAAGTACGGCCCCAAAGGCTACGGCTACGGCCAGGGGGCGGGGACGCTCAACATGGACCGAGGAGAGCGGCTGGGAATCAAACCCGAAGAGTAAGCCGGGCTGCTGCGTGAGCGCTGAATGTTACATAATGCATTTCAAGGCTGCAAGATGACTGTATGTCTATGACTTCTAGACAGTCACATGTTTCAAATAGTATTCCAGGCAATGCTGTTGCTCAGAGTTGTGTTGTGCTTCTGTCTCGCTGTTTGTTACTTGTTGACATCCATTGCAGCTCTGCAATCTGATGGCATGATAAAAAAACAACAACAAATTTAGATGCAGTTTAAGAGTAAAAGCCCTGCAGATCTGCCAGTAAACAACAAAATGACTTTACATTTTTTGGATTTAATACAACACAAATGACATCTTGACATGCCTGGATAAGGGATCGTTTATCCCACTTAATTGCACAAGTGGCTGCCGTGAAGTCGTCGAGGTCAGCGAGTTCAGTGGCGCACTGACGTGTAAGGATGTTTATAGGTTGTGGCTGCTGACTCTGACAGTGCTATTGTTTCCAAACAGCATGCACTCATGCTACCCAAAGATACTTCACATAGAATTCAGTTTGTTTTGCCCTCCACTAGTGAAGCAATAACCAGAGAACATGGACAGGAGTCAGTTGACCTCTTTATCAAGTCCAGCTTGGCTGCAGCAGTTCCCAGCTGGTTTTGGTGGACAGTGTGGATCCAAGAAGAGAAAAGTCAAAGTCCGAAATTCAGAATAATGATCGAAGAGTTCATACATCATCTAATCCATTGCCTGGAATGGGATGGGTCTACTTTCTTGGCACTTATACTGCAAAATGACACTGACTTCCAAGTCCTGAAGAGAGTGTTGGACTGCAGATGTATATCCGTATATACACATTATGTGGAAACACCAAAAACAAACAGGAAAACACAGCCCCACACACACGCCTAGGCAGAATGTTTACTCCTGCAAGCAGACGTCAGGTGACGGCTGTTATGAAAGAGTTTCTTATGTAAGGATCCCGCTTTCCCTCCTCTCTGTCCTCTCTGCTACAAAGGGCTTCATTCAGGGGCCACTGGGGCTGGCAGTCACCCTTCGTTAAGCACCGCTGCAGGGCCCCGGGGTGCCCTGCTCTCTTTCCTACCACTGGCTGCGCACAAAAGGATAGTAGAGGGTGTGCCAGGTTTCTTTCTGGTCCTCTTGTCTTTTAAAAATGATATTGCAATTTTCATTTACAAAGTCTCAACAGATATTCATTAATAAAGAATGAATGTTTAACTGATTCCTAACTCAGGTATGTATTACTGCAGAGGTCAGCGTTTTGGGTCCTACTCGGTAAATGAGTTCACAAGACGAGAGGAGGTTGTGACCTAAAGGGGGAGTGTTACTAATATCGCATGTCCAACAATGAAAAGAGTGTTTGTACAGATTGATCTGTATGTATGCTCACCCTCAGCCTATATATGACGAGATCATGGAGATTTGAGACTTACTAAATGACAAGTGAACAGTTTTTTATGTGCTTTATGTGCTTTTTTCCCCCCAGGACACAGACTCACAGGCCGACCACCAACCCCAATCCATCCAAATTTGCCCAGAAGTTCGGAGGCTCAGAGAAATGCGCCCGGTGTGGAGACTCTGTCTATGCAGCCGAGAAGATCATGGGAGCAGGCAAGGTGAGAGTTTCATCTAAAGCATCTTCTACTAAGGTGATGCCTCTATACTGTCGGACAAATCCAATCCAAAACCTAAAGATATGATATTTACTAGTGGTGGAAGAAGTATTCACCGCTTACTTAAGTAAAGGTAGCAATACCACACTATAGGAATATTGCATTACCAGTTAAAGCTCTGCTGACGAGTAAAAGTATGGAATTTTTAGCAACAACGGCTTGAGCGAGCCAGAGAGAGAGCACCTTTGGTCGAGCTACATAGAGAATAAATAAGAAGAGGGAGTGACATTAGTGAGAACAAAGCAGTGAGTCAGAGAAATCAAATGTTTTCTGATTGTTTCATAAGAAAATACAGACAGAGGGCCACAGAGGGGCTGTAATGGTTGAAATAAACTGATAATAATAATAAAGAATAATATTCTGACAGTATTCAATTAATCTATTCCAATTCATTTCTGCATGACACTATTTTGGATTATTGTTCGTCTCTAGATCTACAGCCAAAGGTTGTGTTTGCACAATAAAGAACACACTCTGGATACAATACACATACACTGTCAGCCTTCAAATTTAGGCAAAGATATTAGCCAAGTCAACTATTTGGCCTTCACTAGCAGAGCCAAGTTTAAAAAATGATGACTCTTGGCTCAGGCGAGGATTCATTTGTTGTCATGACAACATCAACGGAGACTGTACAACTAGGCTGTGCCTGGAAATCTGGTCTTGTACCCCAGACTTAAAGAATGTGCTCCTGCAACTCTGTTCTGATGTCTCTGTCCACACTAATGACTAATGTGTTCCACTGAAGTGAAGCTGCAGTGTGAACATAACGGGGTTATAACGCTCCTTTCAACTTTAAAGAACAATAATTCTACACAGTCCTAGCATGAGCAGCCCCAATAGAAATCCAACCTCTAACTCTAAGCAGCGTTGGTTCCTTGAACTCCACAGGGACCGCAATCTACATCACAAACCACAGGGGTGGCTGGATTGAACGCACGTGGTTTTTACAGTGCTGAACCACACACAGGAGGTTTGGTGTGGTCTCCTAATGACAGAACACAAATCCTGGTTTTCTGGTTGAAGCCGCTCCATAACGTCTGGATGGGGGCTTCTGAGCAGCTGGCGCTGATCGCATGAGGCTGTCCGGTGTGGACTGGCAGTGTGTGGACACACAGATTTACAGCAGATGAAGTCATGAGGGTGTTTAGTTCCGAGGGAGAAGATCGGAGCAATCGCTCTCATGAAAACCTGTCCGCAGAGGAGCAAAGATTTGTGTTCTGAGGAATTCGGTTCCCTCTGCAAACGGGAGTGGGCCGCTTCCTGTCGGCCATCACATGTGGATTCACACATGTGGGCTGACTTATGGCAGGTGATGTCATCGGGCGGAGAGCTGTTAATGTGTTTCCTAATGGGTGGAGGCTGCACTCATTGGCTGAAGCATAACATGTAATTTGCAGCATAATGAAGACATTCAGAAATGCCTCCGGGCTGATGGAAAGCTGAGCGGCTTTGATGGGATTAGATGTAGGAAATGATGACATGTGCTTCAAGAAACATCTGTAATTATCAGCTGTAATTAACTGCAAACGCAAAACTGTTTTTTTTTCTGTGGCCAGGGTTTTAACACTACAAGGCTGACGACCTGAGGTAGATCTAGCATACATGATTCATCGACATATGAAATCAAAATCTCTCTCTCCTCACAGCCGTGGCATAAGAACTGCTTCCGATGTGCAAAATGTGGCAAGAGCCTGGAGTCGACCACTCAGACTGAGAAAGACGGAGAAATCTACTGCAAAGGTGAGACACAACGTCTGAGATCAAACTAAATATGTGCAGTGTTTCGTCACAACTCCTGATGGATTACTGTCATTACCACCATTTCACAGAGAGCCAGGAATAACACAAGGAGAAATAATACTTGTTAGCCAACACATGCATTAACAAAGAAGAACGCTGTCATAGTGACATGAGAAATTGCGATAGTGATACAAATGTTAACACTTAAACATCCATTAGTAAGTGATGTGTTTACTGACATGATGGCCCTAAATGCACCCGAACTGTGCTTCTACAACAGAAAGATCCTGGCATGAAGACATGGTATATATAAACAGAATACCTGATGAACTTATGGCTCTGCAAACACATTAGCCAAGCTGATTATTTGGCCTTCACTAGTTGAGCCAGGTTACAAAAATTCAGACTCTCAGCTCAGATGGGTTGTGGATTGTCGTGACGACACTGATGCTGAGTGTACAGGTAGGTTGTGTGTCCTCCTGCAAGTTTATGCTGCGTTTCACCAGTAGACCTAATGACATCCACATCAGCCCCTTGTACTTTATGTTTGGTGCTGATCAGTGCATGCTAACACATCAGCATCCGAGCATTGTCGGCATGTTAGCAAGCTGAGGTTTAGCTTAAAGCCCGGCTTTATTCTTGAGCGGGCCGGGAACTAGAAGGGACCCCGTTTAGACTGCAGGCCTAAGTGACCCAGATCAGATCAGATACAGATCTGATGTTTTGCAACCTGACCTCAGTGTGAACAGTCATATCAGAATTCACATGACCTTCACTTCACTATAGACTGACATTCATCATGTGGATCGCTTCAGGACGTTCACTCTGGAATCTGATATGGGACGCATTTAAGACATAATGTGCACAGCCAAACAAATAAAATCTGCTGCGAGCGGTAAATCCGAACTGAGCACCGAGGCAGTGTGAATGCAGCCTTAGAGGAGAAGTGGTAACACCCACACTCCCAGACTGGTTGAGACTAAAGAAAACAAACTGTGCAGTATAATCACAGTGACAACTCAACCTGATCAACTAAACACACAACCAGCACACCAGGAAGGAGCCGAGCCTTTGAAACCAGGGATCTTGTTGCCACAGCAACACATGCTAGTGCAAATCTAATGACTGCGAAATAAACACTGAAATGAGTTTACACGCTAGATTTACATCTAGCTTTACAGCGTTATGCAGAGAGCAGCTAAGTGACCACTGGCAGCGGCTGTGATCGTATCAGCAGGAACAGACCTGGAGCACACGTACACACTCTCACTCACTGTGCTCAAAGATCACTCCTATGTCACCTATTTGGTGTGTGGGTTTGGCTGGACCACCAGACTGTAGTGGGCAGGAACATGTGCAGTGCGACCTCCACGGCGATTTCATCAGCTCAATGAGATGGGACGCACACACACACACAGACAGACACACAGCAGATGTATGTTTGCTGAATGTCATAATGAAACCTTGTACTGATAAGGAGGAATGTTGCATCTCAGCTTAAAACCCAAACAGGCCACACTGCTGCTGCAATCAGTCAGCGGGTTTGAGACATCCTGTCTGTGTCTGAGCAACAGCTGGAACATTGTTTCCCTCACCATGGACATTTTGAGGACAGATGTGGACGGCAGACCTGAGGTGTCACAGAAAGAAAGTTTAAGCAATTATCCAAACAGTGTAGTTTGAAACAAGGAGTGGTTCGCAGAGAATTAAAACAAAAGTCAGAGATTCTGCGCCTCAGTGTCTGACCGCAACCTGAGCAGAGAGCATATTTTAAACATCACAGGCTGATGTGAGATAAACAGCTCCGAGTGTTAGAGCTGGGAAACTGCACACACACATTTATATTTTAGCAGATTAGACCTCAGCAACGTGCAAACACCAGCTGGAGCTCACTGCAGCGTACTGCCAGTCACTGGTGATTGGTTCATGGTGCCCCAAACACCAAAATCAAGTTAAATCTCTACAGCAACATCTGTTTCCAAACAGAGCGACACAGAGTGCTAATAATGGAAGATATGTAGCTCAGTGATACTTGATATGGGACAAAGCAAGCTGACCTGAAGGATCTTTATTTGACATAAAAAGTTGGTCTGTCTGTGTGTCTGAGTCTCACGTTAGCTTTGCTGCACCTATTAGTGTGGGAGAAATTACACCTTATTATTCTTATTGGAGCGTGAGATCTGTGATGTAATAAATTACCATCAAAGCTCAACGTTAGCAACCTGAGCAGAGGTCCAATCAGCAGAATAACTGAGAACAGCCAGTTGAGGTTGTGGTATTTTATCTGTGTGTTCAAACTGCGCAGTGTGGAGGTCTGGAAGAAGAAAGGCAGATTTGTTCAATGTGTTTACCTCAATATTGAAAATGAGTTTACTGGAAACCCCACAACATTCGAGTAGATTAAAAACAGATTGTTTTTATGGGAATGTTGGCTGTTCACATATGAAAGATTTCATTAGCCCGATACGTTCGCAGGATTCACTTTTTCTTCTTTCTCTTATTCAGTGTAACATGTATTTGCAGTAACATCTTGCACATGAATATGTTATTTTGAAGCCTATAATGTATTTTGTCCTTTGGTTTTATGTCTCATCATATTTTGGATGTTGGATATATAGCAGTGTGTTGTACTCCCATAAGGTTTGGCGTGACATGGAAATAAAAAGTAACCAACATAATTCACACGCTGGTGAGGTTTCTTCCATCTATGTGAAAGCTTCCTCGCTGTCTTTCAGTATAAAGCCAGTTTGGCTGATATCATCCTGCAGTATTGGAACAACAAAATCTGCAGCTAGTTAACGTTTATCCTCTCCTCTCGTTCCCTCCACAGCGTGTTACGCCAAGAACTTCGGGCCCAAAGGGTTCGGTTACGGCCAAGGAGCCGGCGCTCTGGTTCACGCTCAGTGACGGCTGAACTGGATCGCCCCGACAATCACGATACATTCCCCTCTGTCCTACATGAACATCGACCAGCTCGTTTTTTCTTCCTCAAATGCTTTTATGTTGAAATAGGTTCTCATGATACAAATAAAAACATTAAACCAAAGCACTTGTTCACATTTGACTGTATTTTATTATTAAAGCCATTAAAACTGAACCATGCCCATATGTTTACATCTGAAGCGGAGTTACAGTGATGTCTGAAGGTGGGCAGAGAGGCACTGGAAATGATTATGTGCTTTACCTTTTTTTATTTTATTATCCCATATGGTGAGATGAGAGGGGAGACAGAACAGACTCATTATGCTGCTGGAAGAACTAGTGAGGGCTGAAATGGCTTTTGAATTCATGTCCTGGATGAGTGCTGCCCTAAAAAAACGACAACATTTACCTCCTGTGGCTTAAAAGGCATTATTAGACAACCGTGGTTAGTTACTGATATGAAACCTATAGCCGAGTCCACGACCTTTGACCTTTAAAAGCGCACAGGAAGTAGCCGCTGTGTCGTCTTTGTTAGGGCAGAAGTGACATCAGTGGTTGGTTAACAAGACTTTAGGGGTGTGAAATGTGGAATGACGACATGACCGCCCCCCCCCTTCTGACGATGCAAACACGAGGCCCACAAGTTTCGGAGGCCTTTACGTAATATAACCTCCCTCTATCCTTAAAACTATTGCATGATCACATTTCAGCTTTTAGAAAACAAAAACAAAAAAAAAATCGGCGTCTGCCTTAGTTCTCTAGTGTCTTTGCTTTACAATTTGTACATCCAGTGGTATAACAAACCCAGCGGTATATGACATAGAAATTAAAAAATAAAACAACCCTTTAGGATGACTACAGAGTCCACAAGCATGGAACATTCAAATATATTACACACTTGCACAGGAGGGCCCGACAGGAGATCTGGCGACCTGAAAGAAAACTTCCACTAAACACACACTGGATTTGAGAGAAAGAAACTAATAAAAAAAAAAAACAACTCAACAGACAAATGAACGTAATGCAGAAAAGTACTTGCAAATACTTAACATTCACTATATACAGACACGTGGCTTGCCGGGCTGTCACCATGGAGATGATGATGGGGGGGGGGTCAGGTCGACGGGGGACGGCGAGAGCCCAGCTGTCCCAAGCGTCGTACATGCAGTGGAGTTTCTTGGCAGGGGAGATATTTG